CAAGTGTATGAACCTTAATACATATTACTTCCTTATGCATGAATGTTGTTGTAATAACACCATTATTATGTAAGTCAATAAGTTCATCAATGAATGGCTGAAAAAAAATATTCATATTTGGTTTTACAGCGTCAAACCATATGCCAGCTAAGAGAATGTGTTGCCTTCGCAAACGATAAGGCAATTCGTTTATTGTAACTAAAATCGGCCAAATGGATGACATGGAAGACTTAAATAATTGTACCCCATCTGAATTCCACTGAAGGGTAATGTAATTATCTCCAATGATATTTTTACTTCTTAAATTACGGTAAACATTTCCATTAATGATGTCACTTTCCATTTCTTTAGTTTTTCGGAATTGTGCAAAATCTTCGGATTTTACTAATTCTATTAATTGCTCTTTGAGTGGAATATGTATAAAATACTTGTTTTTTTTATCGAGATACTTTTTTTTGTAAATTGTTGTACAGACTTCACATTTCATTCGATTATCGATACATGAATTCAGTATCGTATAACATTCCGGACAGTAATAGTATTTACACGCTTTACTTTCTGGTAATGACTTTAATAATAAATATTTGGAGCCATGATGTGTACGAGGAAGATGACAATCAATTACTTGAACAAGAGATTCCAACGCAACATCGGTCAGTTGATGACGAAGAGCCAAACTCACAAGCAGCATTTTGCTTTCTTCTTTTGAAAGATTGCATCCTTCGTACAGTACTTAGCGAAACTGTATAACATAAAAAAATTTTACATTACTTACTACAATAAAAATACCAAAATTTATCTTTAAAAAAGCTATTTTCTCTTTGAAATAAGTTTTTATATTTTTTCCCACGAAAATGTTTCACCAAGATATAAAACTTTAAACATTTCAATTAGGGGGAGATGAAAACTTTTTAACGGCACTGTACAAGACACTGTACAACGGCACATAACATATAATCAAGACTTTATTTATACACAGATATCAGTAGATTCCGTGGTATAAACCATGTCCAATAGAAAACTATTCAAAACGATTCCACTAACACCATATAGAAAACAATAGATCTATAGTTTTCTGTATGGTTAATGAATGGTTTTGAGTAGTTTTTCATTGACTAGTTATTAGCGATTCTGTAAGGTGATATACGTATATTACCTGCTCCATGTGTGGATCTTGATTATGATTTTTGGCATTATCAATAACATTATTGTGATCTTCATCAGCAATAGGGATTTCCTCATATTCGTCCATGTCAGAGGCCAAATCAATTTCATACTCTGATGAGTTATCTGTACATAATAAACTATCATCTCCTTCATCATGATTTAAGCACGATGAAATGTCATCTACTTCTCCATCGCTGCTTTGGAGACCCTCGGAACCAGAATCTTTCTCAGATGAAACTATAGGTATAATTGCGACTTTATTGCTACTTCCAGCTACATTTATCTCCTCTATTCGGCTCAACTTTGAACATTTTATGTTCTCAACCGAACCAAGATTTTCTTGACTCTGTGCAAACACAAAAAAAAAAATCAATTAGTTGTACAGAAAAATACATAAACTCTGGCGACAATTTTAACTAAAAGTATCCAAAGATTCACAGAAATTTCAGCAACAATTTTTGTTTGTATACAGACGTATTTATATATAAGAAATGTCCATTAATTTACTTATAATTAATTAAATTAATTTACGGATATGACTTAAAAATACTTACATGATCATGTCTTTTTTTTCGAGAATGTGTCGTTGATGCTGTATTTCGGGGTTATGTTCTTCGTATATGTACTGTTTATACGGTCCTCTTTTATTAACACTCATCGTTAATCAACGCGTTTTTTGTGATTACGTTGCAATTTATGATTTACATTCAGATCAATAAATAATAATAGTCAAAGGATTACTCAGTCTTTTTCAATATTATGTATGTATGTACATACTAGAGAGTTTCTAGAAGAGAGAAGCGCCAAAAAGTCACGTGACAACGTTCTCATCTGATTGGCTGGTATCACGTAGCTCACATAAACGAATCTTCTGATTAGCTGACATCAAGGCTAAGTCACGTGACCTGTTGGCGTCTCTCTCTCCTAGAGGTTTTCTAGTACGTACATACACACGCAGTCATTACATATTCTCGTTATTTACGGTGTGATCTGCACGTTTACTGCGGAGCGCGGACTGCGTGGTCGGCAGAGTAGCTGGGAATCGTTTTGAGTTTGGAGAGAGGAAACTGCTTCTTATATATGCGCTCTCTTTCTCTTACTCTTACTCTCTCGCTCTCCTCTCTAGAGCCAGAAATGGCGGGAATCCCGGCCTGGCACCCCGGCATGCGGCAGTGTGTGATTGTGTAGCAGTGAAGCTGATGTGAGAACAATAATATTCTCGAAAGAACTTGCAAGAGTTATAAAAGTAGAGTAGAAAAAAGGTGAAAAAAGTGCTCTATTTTCGAGAGGAATTCGCTGCTGTTTTATTGTCTCTCGAGTGTTATACTTGTTTACTTATTAACAGTATAATACTTTTATCGTAAAAATGAAAGATAGCGAGTGCGTATTAATAGAATTCATCAACGAGGATTATAAAGTCGCAGTAGGCTACTTGTCGTGGTTTCAAAATGAAACGTTACGAAATAAAGAAGCACTACAAAAAGTTATTGATAAAAAAGAAGAAGTTGCAATTAATTGGCCCGTAAATTGCGAAATTGCTCCTGCATCGAAGATGCACAAAAAAGTACGAAATTGCTCGTGGAATCCCACGTTGTACATATTTTGTCGTTTGGGGGTAAGTTTTTATATGAACTAATAACATAATCTGTATAACCTATACATA